AGCCAGCGAGCGGGGTGGGTTCCGCACGGCAGAGTGCTTGGGTGGTTATAATGAGCTAAGCAAGACTGCCAACGTGGACCTCTGAATCACTCCGACAAATTAGGTTAGAAGCTTCACTCAGATTGTAACGTATTTCCTCAAATCTCTGAATAGAGTTTTATGTAACTATAACAGGCTCTACTGGCCTGCCGGCCACTTTTCAAAGTCAGAGTAGCTAATGTACAACGTAATGTGGACATTTCACCGTTTTTGGTGCACACGTGTGTATATGCTCATGTATGTTTCAGCACTACGTAAATCAATACCTCTTATTCCATGTTGCTTAACTGGGAATCTTGATAAGTGCTGGTCGGATGCAGACGATGATTTCGAGTAAAGATGAGGGCAGGTGAATGCTGCCACTCCATTTCTTTTTAGGTGGTCCTAAAAGCATCCCGTTTAATTTCAATGGATGTAAAGGAGTCTGACCTAATTTGAAATGAAACCTCCTTATGTCAAGCACCACCAGTTACTGACTGCAATTCTCTCCTAAGGATTTTGAAGACACAATTAAATTAAAAAATTAAAAAGCGACATCAGCTGCTGCAGCAACCCCTATTTGTTTGCAATCCTGAGCAGTTGTACAAAGGCATAGTGAAATGGTTGGAGGCAGATGCACTGGTCTCCTCTGGAAAGAATATTGCTCATGGAAAGGGACTTCCAGATCCTTTCCTCCCACTGCATTGCCTGGTGTGCCCTCCAAATCTCATCTAGAGAGACCCCCCTGCCCCCCAGAGCAAAAGCAGGGGGCAGATGAGGGTCTGCAAGGTGGAGAAGAGGATGCTGAGGTCCCCTGCCACATGTGCCAATCTGTGCTGGCAGAACAATAGATCTGGACCGAACTAGAAGTGCCAATGGGATGGTGAAGGCAGGTTCCTTTAATGTAAGCAATAGGGGAGTTGGATCCTTCTGGTGTCAGAAGCTTTTCTGAGGTGGCAGAAATGCTCTTTCCCATCTTTTCCTCCAGAATGTTATCCTTCCTGGGATTGTTGCTATTCCCTTCTTGGGGGATCCCCCACTGTGGTTCATAAGGCCTGGACTGTCAGTGGGGCTCTTTGGATGCCACAATAGTCCTCTGCGGGTTATTTAAGAGTCCCCGGTGAAGCGGTGAATCATGTGGCATGCATGTGTCTGCCATGTTGAGAACATGTAACCCCATTCAGGGGTTGTCATGCTGTGCACACCCTGTGAGTGTGGGTTATGAGAGGGTTAAAGAACCCTTACCTAACCCATGGGGTTAAGCCACAGGTGCCAGGTTCACACGACTCAACAATTCCATGAGCCATATTGCATCATCCAAACCTGGTCTTTGTGTCTCATCTAGGCAGCCCTCTCTGAACATGCCAGAAGAGCTCCTCTGCCTCTTCGAATTCTGTGGCTACTTTGGCCCACAGACAAAGGGTGGAAGATAATTACAAATCACTTATTTGTCTATATGAAGCAAGTTCGTACCTTTTAGCTTTGCTGCGTGATACTGTTATTTGTACAGAGGGAGGTGTGGGATTATTACCTGGAAGCCCCACCTTCTGATAGCCTTCTTCTGCTCTAAGATAGGAGGTTGCTCAATTGCAAACTTAAAAAAATAAATAAAAAAAATCAAAGGTTGCCTCTGCTTTATTTCTAAAACAGCCAGTAAAGGTTCAGAAACCTCGCAGACTTTTCCTGGTATGGAGAAAGTGATGGGGAAAGTTGGCATTCAGGGCCAGCAAACAATGGGTGGAGGCCGGCCCGATGAAGCAGGGCCATTTCATACACGATGCATTTCCTTCATAGAGATCGCTGTCACAGAGGAGATGGTGGAGAAATTCTTTAATGCATCTCTACCCTGCCTTTTTGGGCAAGACTTCACAAGGCAACTTACAATCAAAATGTTAAAATGAAACAATTGAACAAGCAAAGCCAAAGCAACAGAAGAAAAGTACATGCAGATCAATACAAAACTTCGGATTCAGCAGTTACATTAAAAGCTCGATGGTCTTCAAGGGCCATGAGGGAAGGGGTCAGATGGAATTCTCTGGGGGAAGAATTCTGTGAGGCAACAGAAAAATGTCACGGAAAAAGTGACACAAAAATATGTCATACGCCCACAAAGTGTCACACAAAGAGCTTCACCAGTGTCACAGAAAGGGCCTTCCCTGTGGTACCCACCACCTTTGGCACACAATGTGAGGCCTGCATCCTTGGCCGGAAGCCTCTGATCTCGAAGGCTTCCAAGTATCGAGTGCCTTATTCAGCTGCTGCCGAACAGTTATGGGATTACTTGGGATTTTTGCCTCCCTGTTCCCTTCTGTCTTTTCTCCTCTCTCTTTGCTAGTTGCATGGATGAGCTCATCTTGCAGAGGCATGGGGCTGGGTTGGGCTGGGCTTCTCGCATCCTGGCCTCTTGGGGCTCCATGATGTCCCCCAAACAGCTGCTTTCTTTCTGCAGTGAGTCTCAGATTATGAAAACCCCTACAGTCTCCACAGTGGGAGGGACCCCAAAGGCTCCCGTGGATTCTGAGGCCCTCTTCCCATTGCCTGAACCACAGGCCAAGAAGCAGGCCCAGGTGGGCTCGGATCAGTGAAGCCAGCCCTGGTTGCTGATCCCCTGCGGGTTTAAAGGTTACTGCTAGAACCTCACCTGCTCAACTATTCCGGCAGCTGCAATTTGCATCAGCCTAATTTTCTGAGGGTGTCAGAATGCGGAGAAGTGTACTTGAGAGCCGCTCCCTTGCCTTCGCATTCTCAGGCCACCAGGCAGCCACAAGGTCTGCTATGCCCAACTGGCTGTTCCCAGTGGTTAATGGCCTTCATTTGTGAGGCATCCTCTGTACCAGCTGGTCACGAAACAGGACAATAGCATCAAAGCTTGTAACAGCAGTCATACTGAACATATTTTTGCCCATGCAGATCCTGCACAGGGGACATAAAGACCAGGCATGCCAAGACCCCATGCATAGGTCACAGCGGCAGTTTCTGGGTCATTTGATCCAAGAACTGTGGGAGCAAGCAAAGCACACAAACAGTGTGCTCGTCATCCAGCTTTTAATTAATAACCCAGGAATGCGCTGGTGAACCTGGAAATGTTTGGTTGTTGATAGGTTAAAACTAATCAGAATTAACCCAGCAGCAAACCAGGTAATTGCTGGATTAATTCTGGATTGTTTAACCTCTAGGCCCAAAACAATCCAGGGATGGGGCCTTTCTGGGCTGTTAATTGAAAACAGCTCTGCTGTTCATCAGTCTTACAGCCCAGGAATTGCAACTGCAATGTGTGAACCAGGATTAATACAAGAAGAAAATGGTGAATGATTATGGTGCTTAAGAATATCATTAGTCACAGAAAGAAACTCATGTTCTACCAGCTCATCCTGAGTAAATCAGCTCATAGTCTGTAGAGAGGGCTGGGCACTGCTGCCAGGGGTGGTTGCCAGTTGCGGGGTGCTCTCCCCAGGTCTGGCATCAACCCCGAGGAGGCATTTCTACAGGAGGCACTTCTCATGTACTCATCATTTCCTGCTCATGCTTGTTTATAGGTTCTTCAGATGATGTTGTAACCCTCTGTTTAATCTGTTTGTAAATAGCACTTTCAGCAAGTTGGTGTACAGCTGGAAAATGGGCTATTTTTTCTGAGGGCAGGAGAAAGCACTCCAGCTACTTGTGTATTCTACTTCTGTACACACTGCTATACCACAGTGCCACCTAGAGGTTGTGTAGTGCTTGGATCTCAAGTCTGTGACAAAACTGAAAGTAGATCGACAGCTTAGTGTCGTCCCCCCGCCCCCTGCTTTTTTTTTCTTTTTTTTTTTTTAGTGCCAGGTTAATACTTCCATTGACTTCCAGGCATTTGACAATATATGAAGGGGCACTATCAGTTCCTCACAGTTTTGTCAACTATTTGAACTTGTTTTTAAATTGTTCTAAATTTTAGAATGCTTTAGATTATGTTTTATTATGTTGTTAATTGGCCAAAGATCTTTGAATTTTGGGTGATACAGAAAGAAATGAATGAATTATATATACAAATATTTAGCAATGTGCCTATATAGTCCAGAAGACAAAGTGCTCAGTTTCATTCAAGCATTGTGCTGCAGATGTGTGTGTGTGTGTGTTAAATTTGATTTGAAGCCAGAGGAACTAGAAAAGGCATGTTTTAGTTCTTATCTGGGTTGTTAGAGAAATCAGTACCACAGTGCAGGCACATTCTGCAGAATGGCGCTTACTGCCAGGCGCTTACTGCTCTGCATTTATTACAGGGTTACATGGAACTATCATGGGTAAGATGAGTTCATGCATGGCACTTACAAATCAAACGTCACTGCTAACAGATTGCAAATAATTGTACAAGAGATGGGAGCATACAAGATCTAGACACACATTGCTCAATAACATTGGTTCATCCTAGGAATCGCTCTTAACACATATCCAAATGTTACAGTCAACTGATGGAAAGCGTGCTATGCGAAGAAAACTGCTGGAGTTTCTCATAAAGTGAGAGAGTTAAGAGGAAACACCAGGCTGAAGATCTGGAGACAAGAAAGCAGATTTAACAACTGTAGCCTTTCAGAGCAAGATCCGTCGAACAAACAAACAGACAAACAAACAAAAAACATGCAGTGGGTTGAGCACTGAAGAAAATTGTACCAAGAGGAAAACTTACAACGTAATGGTGTGTTGTTCTAATGATTTCACAAAGGAGAATCCAATGTGATGACCTAGTGCATTTAATGATAAGGCCACAATATCGCAGTTGACAAGGACTTTAAGCAGTCTGCTATATAGCTTTCATTTTCCCCCCAAAGTGGCTTAAAAAAATACCTGAAGTATATCTCATCATAGTCCTTCCTTTTTTTTTAAAGAGCTTAACATATTGCTTAATACAACAGTTGGAACAGCAAAGGAGCTCATCCACAAGGAAATTAGGTTTGCGAAATGATGTTCACAACAGACATGTTTCAAACATGTTACAGATACGTGAGACCAACTCTACATGGCTAATCTGAAAAGAGGCTGGCAAAGGATTTTCTCAAGTTTCGGATGGTTTCAGCTTTTGCTTCATCTTCATTCACAGAAGATCGAAAGAAGGATGACTCTGTGAAGTTGAAGGCGTTCGTCAGAGATTGTGATTTGCTGCAAGATAAAAACAAAATCCACACAAATGTTAGCACAGTTGAGCAAGCATGATTATCCTGTTGCTTATACGTGAAGCCACCCACTGGAATATCCCTTATAACTGCCTCTAACGGGAGCCTGAGGTACAGGGCATGCATTCTCTTCTTTTAGCTCACCTCCGCTCAACAGATGATCAGCATTGCTAGCTTTGCCACTGGTGGCCATTGGGGGCAGAGAACATCTGGACTCCAAGCTGACCTCACCAACTGCTTCTTCAGCAGTCTATGCGTAGGTGCTGGCCTTACACACAGGGAGTCATGTGGGGTGTTGATTTTACCCAGGGTGTTACATGAACTTCAAATGAACTGCGTCGTGCAGCAGAGTACAGACTGAATTCTAGACCAGAGAATATTACGAGCGCTTAGGTTCCACTAAAACAAACAAGCCTTGTCCTAATGGTGTTTATTTGGAAATGAGCCTGTGTGTTTTCAGTGTCTGGCAGAAGGAGCAAGTGATGCGGCTTCTCCACTATGCCTACACGAGGCTGGAGCAGGGCAACACTTCATCGCTGGCCAGCTTTAAACACACCCGCTGCTTGCGTGCACTCCATCTTTCCCTTCTGCGGTACCCCGGCTCGATAATTACTGAAGGGAGGGGGAGGAACAACAAAACAGGACCTCACTTGATTACGAACTCTAAAGTAAATGACCTAATTAAATACGTATTCATGCACTAATAACTTGCACGCACATGTTAAGCAATGGCATGTGGGTGAGAATGCAAGGCACAGAGATGCCAGATAGACAGAGCACAGTTAATCCTTTTGGCAACTGGGGTTGCCTTTTTGTGTTATTTTTTTCAGACTTGGAATAGGAATAGAAATAAGCCTATTACTTTCCTTCAAGGAGCACGATGGCACACCACATGGGTATTGTTTTCAGCATGAAGGAATGACCTCAAGGTGCACCATGCCAGGAAATGAATGGCTAAGATGGCACATGCTGGGAGGGCAACGTCTGTAACCATGACTTTGGCCTTCCAGGGATGTTACTGCAACCTCACGCTGCAGGCAGAGAACTCCAACTAATGTGATTTGTGTTTTTCAGTTTTTAGTTCTAAGATGGGTTTTTAAAAGTTACATTTCAAGAATGCCAAACACAGATTTGAAGGAAAGGAGAAAGGAGCACTTTCTAGGCTGATGGTCTACTACAGTTTAACATTCATATGATTTTATGGTTATTCTAGTGAAGTTAAGAAAAATCTTAGGTTGGATTCAGAACTGTCTGTCCTACAATCCCAGGTGAAAGGATTCCAGGGGCAGAATAGGATTTCTGTGTTCTCTCATCTCCTCTGCTGCTCCCACAAAATCTCCTCTGGAGCATTTCTCAACCTTCTACTAATGTAAGGATGATTTGGGATTAAAGCTCTTCTCCTGAATGTATTTTACAGTAGACGCTCAGTTAACCGGCATCCATGGGGAGTGGTAGATGCCAGATAAATGTAGTTTCCGGTTGGTTGAGAGTTACTATTAAAAATAGGCCTAGCTACAGTGATACTATACCACACCACACCATAAAGCCTGTATTGACTTGATATTAATATTGAAAAACAGTAATTCAAACACATTAAGAAAAATAAAGACAAACTTCTATCTTCTAAGACTGAGCCTTAATGTCATGATGAACTGACATTAAATTCCTGCATGAGCATTGCAGGACTATCACCTTTCTCAAGCCTCTTGCATATTTCCAGATGCTGCTTGAGGGTAAGCACTAGGCGGTTATGTGACTTGGGACCTGTTTAGGCATACTTGGGGTTGGGTGAGAACACAAAATTTGAGTAACAATAGATCCCAACCACTGGTATGTTTACATATGGTGAATTGGCAGGAGTGGGAGACAAACATGTGGGCTTACTCACGGCTCAGCATGCCAGGTTTGAACTTAGATTTCTGCTGGAAACTGATTTTATTTTAATTTTCTTTTTCTCTATTGTTTCTTAGATTTTTTTGCTGGTTGCTGGAGAGTGGCAGTTGCTTGAGTTCCAGTTAACTGAGAGTCTACTGTATTAAGATTAACTGGAGGCAGGGGAATAATAAAACAGTGGGAAGATACAAAGTCTCATTCATGGGTAGATCCCACTGTGACTTCTCCAGCTCACCTCCTGGGTGCTTCTACACTAGGGATTTACCTGTTCATTAGAGGACCAGCTATACTTTGTTCAGTCACTGCTTCTTTTATTCCTTTATGATGTTTACATGTCACTCCAGACTGAAAGCTTCAGTGGAGCACCTGAGTGTGGTCATCCTGCATTATTTATTTTACCTTTTTCCAAACCAAATAACTCTGATGGACCAGTGGTGCTGTTTTCACAAGAAAGCAGTCTAAGAGCAGGTCCTTCATGTCATTTGGATGCGTAAAGCTATTTCATCAGCAGGTGAACCTATCCATACCCAGTTACTTATTCATTTATTCATGTTATTTCTCTTTTGCCCATTAGCTGAAGCTCCATGGGCAGTGTACAGCAGTTGAAAAAATACAACAGAATACAGTATCATTGCTGCAAACGGTGGCTCTGTACCTTTAGAGTTGGCACAATCTGAGCTATTTTTTAAATTAATCTTTTAATTTGTGCCTGTGTGAGGGTTCCCCCTATAGGGGAAATCACACAGGCAATATACAGTTAAAATCATACATTTAAATATATGCTTCTAGTTTACATGCATAATTAAAGGCCTTTCAATATTTAACTTTTTTTAGGCTATATCGCTTTAGTGCTCTGCTTTTTAAATTGTTAGACAGTTTTATTTGGTTGCTGCCATCCGACGGGCGCCTGCTTTACAGATAAAGACGTGTGTTTTGTCATAAATCAATACCGCATTTGTGATCTGCTGCACAAATGTTTGGTAGTTGTGTGCACAAAGTGGGATACCATTTTTTCTTGCTACTGACTTGCTCACTGTCACTAAACTCTGGTGATCAGGAACTGCAGCTGGAAGGGATGCCCGGCCTGCCTGAAGGTGTAACATGCAGTGTGGCTGAGCCACGTCACAACGGAAGCTGCGTCATTAGAGAGCAGAGGAAGCAAAGAATCTGGCCTGGCGTTAAGTCACGTGTAGCCATCTGCATTCTGTAACTATGAGCAGCATGCCCAAGGTCAATCTGGCTAAAGAGCATGTTTCTGTGGGACTCTAAAGTGAGCGTGATTGAAACAGAAATGCAAAATAATATCACTTCAAAGCTCAGAATCCATTTTCCAGTGCTCCGTGATCATGGCTTTGGTACCTCCCAGTTCATTTTCCTGTCCCAAATCCCACCACAGATATTTCCTGCCCTTCTGTTATTACCCATCTGCAGTCATGCTTTAAAACGATGCATTCCATAAAAATCAAAGCCTGCAGCATGAATGCCTAACTTCTTCCACATGCAGATGGTTCTCCTAATGATGGATTTGGGTCCACTGCATGAAACAATACAATGTATGGTTTGGGCAATGAGTATGGCTATACCTTCACATCACCTTGGGAGGAACATTTTGGCCAGAAAAAAACCATCCTATGGGCTTTCAGTTCAGTCTTTCCAACTGGAAAGCAGTTGTTGTCTAAGTAGCTGCAAGGTTAAAAGTTTAAGCAGATAAGGCTTCCTTTTCACCCCCTCAGCAGCTGCCTGACAGACAACCCAACCAAACATGAGTCAATCCTTTTTGGGGTGGTGGGGAGAGACACAGGATGACACATCCTCAAATCTGGCCTCATCTGAGTAGAAATCTGCATGTACTGCAGGAAATGTCGCTTTTTCAGCAACTCACTTTCTTCTCATTGGAAAAACTCTTGCTCCAGATCAAACAGATGCAAAGCTGTTAGAAAGGTTAAAAAAAGGTTCTCTTTTGCTGCACAAAGCAGGGGATCTGCACAGGATACTTTAGATTTCTCTGGCAAGTGAAACAACATAGAACAACTGGAGGAAAGAAAACTGGGAGCTTACTTCAGCTGGGGGTGCGACTGAGGCTTCGGTGGTGGAGCTGGCGAGGGCCCCCTCTCCGGGTCACCTGCTGCTGGCCCAGCACGGGAAGGACCGGGGGCCCGAGGTCGTGGCTGCAGAGCTGCAGGGCCAGGTGGACGTGGAGGCAGGGAACGTGCGGGCTTGGCTGACTGCCCCGGGAGGAACCCGCGCTGAGGTTGCAACGGCTCCTCGCCTTGTGTTTGCATTCCTTGGGGTTGCACAGGGCCCCCTAGGTGCAGCACAAGAAAAACTTCATAATGCATCAGTAATTTTGTATTTGCTGTTATATCCAACACTTACAAATATAATCCTGTAACCAATAACCTTCAGTGTCATTAGGATACCTAGCCAATGCTTCTGGTCTTTATCAATAGCCACAATGCTGCATAACTGGGTGCTGCCAAGCCTCCGCATCAACATAGAAGTGTTTCAAGAAAGGTTATTACTTTGACAGTCGTACGCTTTTTCTTTTTGAGACCGACAGGATAATAACTGTGCAGGGCGCACTAGATCAGTTATAGCATTTCTGCATTTCATTTCTAAGGTTCCTGATAAGCAAGAAATATATCCTAAATTCCATGGTCAAACTGAATGCAGTGGAATTTGTTAGGGCTGTACATGAGATAATATACTCCAAGGCACAGAACAGTAACAGGCAAAGCCAGGTTTCTTGTTATATTTCATGTCACTGGGTTTTATGGTTTATCTTTATAGAAGAGCATATATTTCCAGCGGAGATTAAAAGGTCCAACGTTTGAATCCAAAGTAGATGAACTTTAATGGCCTTAAGCCTTATTACACCAACAAGTAAATACTTAGGATAACTTGTGTCCACTGTTGTACCACTATGTAGCATTACACCAGTGCTGCCATTATGAAATTCCTGGGCTAGGATGCAAACTACCATGAATTTAGTTCCACCAAGGAGATTTATACTTGTTTTTCTGGAATGTCGCCCCTGCCCCACAGTGAAAAAGTTTGTGATACGATGTGAAAAAAGTAAAAAAAATTACTGGGATTTTGCAAACTCCTTTATGCAAACTTTATTCACTATTTGGATGCCAGTTCTGCTTGCAAGGAGATGCATGCAAACAACTGACCTCACTAGTGACGAGATGGGGAAGAGCTAACAGAGGAGTTCCGTGTTTGTTTCAGGGCACGCATTGAGCTCTGGACTGGGAAGAGGGAGCGACCAATGTTTGCACATTGCAGACATCAAGGTGTAAAATGCTTATCTACGAATAAACTCTGCCTTTTCACATTGTACAAATCACGGGACAGGTTAATGGAACATTCTTTCCACCCTTTCAAGTCTACTGATCATCACTCTATTAGAATCATGTTGCCCCTTCACTCAGATGTGGTACTTTCGAGGTGCAAATGAACTTAATTCAACACATGATGGTCACATGTTGCTTTGACCAGCAGGCCTATGAAAAATGCAAGGCCTATGGCAAATTCATAGCATTTGAAACATGTTTTCCATTCTCATGCTGCAAGGTGCACAGAATATCTCTGCATGAAGGTCACACAGAGAGTATAACTTTAAGCTGATTTAGAAAATCAATCCATCAACTAGGCTTGAAGCAAGCTTGCTAGTCTACTTTCAACAATGTGAGGATATCGATTACAAGGCAAAGAAATTGTACCTTTCAAAGCAAATTGTTCTGTGAGATTAGTTCTATATCCTTCTTCATGCAACATGGCACGTAAAGGGAACATGTATGGAAGAAGAACCGAGGATTGTGTCTGCTGGTTCCTATATGAAGTGCACTTACTCAACTGAAGTGTACTTACTTGTGAACAACTATACTATATGTGTTCAAGGTGTACATGTGATTTAGACCCTTGCAAAAGTTGGTGTGTTTGGAGGTCCATTCAAAAGCTTTACTGAATTTATCCTGGACACAAGGAATCTATGTGAATTTAGCTTCTGCTTGCAAAATACACAACTTGCCCTGTTTGAAGCTCTGAACTTAACTCTGTGTCAAAAATATTCACAATTGGCAAACACATGTTGGAGTTCATTTCATTCCCACCTCCCAGTTTGATTTCCACCATCCTCCTAATGGGTGTGATTTTCCTCAATAGACCGAACAAGTCCCTTTTTGGCCTATGGAGGGAATCTGCACAACTTCCCCGTTCATTCACTGTCCAATGAATGCAATCTTCCCAGTTAGGCTTGGCACAAGGTGACTCCAAATGGGAGTCAGGTGCTGGGCAAGCGGCGAGGCACTGCTCAGAGCATCTCAGGCAGCACTTGCCCACCCACCCCTACTCACAGGGGGAACCAGCAGTGCAAACACGTCTGCATCCATCCCATGTTCCGTATAGTTGCCATGCTGCATAAATTATGGCCAATGTGTTCTCTTAATGTTAGTTCAGCATCTGAAAGTCTTGTTTTTTCCTAATAGATTGAGAAGTTTCAAATTTTGCCATTCTTGTTGAGAAGTTGTGATTTGCATCCTACCAAAACAAACAATTCTTTAGTTGCACGTCTTTGCTGTGTTAAAAAGATTCCCTCCCCCATCTGGATATGGAGGCTTGTATGCCAGAAACTATACACTGAAGACAGATGTAACCTTTTTTTTATTGCACATGAAGCTGTACAAGATATTTCACAAAATATATACTGCAGTCACACTTCAGCATTTGCTCACTTTCTTGCAGCTGGTTTGGTACAAAACGGCAACAATAATAAATATTTGAAAAGCTTTTACAAAATAAAACAAAAACAAAAAACAAAACAAAACATACACACACCAACCCTTAGGACATTAATCCTATACTGTAAAATATCGGTTCCCAATTCCCGACAATATTGCACCTAAGCATGCTAGCATGCAGAGAGACATTTTGGCTTGCTCTATCTCTGTTAGGCAGTAACTGGTGTGTGCCCCTCTAAGACCTTTTGCATGAAATGCACTGAAGTCCTGCCAGAATGCACACCACCACACACCGCTCACCCACGACACACACAAACACACGCAGAGCCCATAAACAATGCACAAAAGCATCTGCAAATACTCAAGACTACTACATGCAAAGGAACACCCATGGCTTGATATTAATGGCATTCATTCAGCAAGCTCACTTCTCCACCCCGGGGCAGGTTGCTCTCTTTGCTTACTTGGGCTGAGATTTGGAGGTGAGAAGGGGGCTGAACCTGTTGGCGAAGGGGATGCACTCATTCTATACAACCAAAATCATCTGTGTGGTTAATCAAGAGTCCACTAACCAGAAACCACAACCACAAAAGCAACATGTTCTTATTATAATAGCCAAAAGAAGGGGCCCAAAAACAGTGACATGCCCGACAAGCACTGATATTGCCATTGAAAGCAGCTTGAAATTCACCACCCTGAATTAAACAGCAGCAGCAACAACAAATGACCACTTGTAACTGAGCGAAACTTTTTGCTGGCAGTGTTTGCAAGGAAAATAAAATCAGACCTTGGCATTGTTTCAAACAAAAACAGACTTGTTTGTATTAACTTAGGGACTACTATTTACCTTAGCCTCACACTCTAATTGACAAAATACATTTTCCCTTGCCCACAGCTAGTTCTACAGTCTGCTTGAGCTGTGCAACTCAACCTTGCAGACTAGATTTTCTGCAACAGTTTAAACTGCCTGCCTAGATATTGCTTGCAAGAATATGTACGTAGCCATTGGTTATGTGACCGTCATAAGCAATTATGGCTATAAGAAAGTTTGGCAAAAGTAAAATCTCTCTGGTCACCTGGCTTTATTATTTACACATACTTGAATCACAAGTATGACCTTCCAGCCCTAAGCCTTGTTACATTCCTTGGTATATTCTGTAGCTTTTGCTCAAATGGATGGATCAGGTCATAGCTGCATTTTCTTTCATCCAAATTGCTTGGCCATCACCTGATCTAAAAGAAAGCAACACAGCTGCACGCTGAGCCCACAAACTTCATTTTAAAAAAATCCCCCAAACAGCCCAATATTTGGAAAAGACGCTGATTAGCCTCACAAGGCTTTTAATGGCCTTGTTGACTTCCTCTGTCAAGCAGCTGTACCTTACCTGAATTATGTAGATAAGAAATTTCTGGTAAACACTCGCTTTAGCTTTGTACAAAACCACATGGCTCCATTATAACCACCAAAGAGACTCCTGAATTGAACTCAAATACATTCAGTACCCTCATATTTTGATCAATATTGCACATAGGTGGCCCATTTTTATAGCCCTGAGGCTAATAATTTAAAGCAGATTTTTAAAAAGTCTGCATTGAAAATAAAGGATAATTATGTATATCTGGAAATAATGCTTCCACATCTCATAAGAAACAACTAAAACAAAACACTAGTTTTCCATCTTAGTACAAGTATGAACAAAAAAACGCAAAAATTTCTATAAAATTATAAAAGAAAGATGTCTCATATAATGTACTACTAAATGAGACACTGAACAGATCAGAATCACCTTTCTACATTAATCATGCACAATTTTGTTTTAAAAAAACAAGTATAACACACATACTCACAGAGTTAAGCAAAAGTATTTAACTCTCAGCTTGGGTTGTTAATCTTTTTACCCCACAATATAGAATATTTAAAAAAAATACTGGTGTAACCATCCATCATATACAGTCTAACTGACTTGGTAGAGGCACAATTCTTGTACACTGTCGACAACAGCCCTGAATCACAAGTTATACAGAGAAACGTAAGTAAGCATTACGACACAAACATGAACAGAGAAACAACCAGACAGTTAGTAGAGTTGACACTGCATAGAAAAAACACAGTCCAGGTCAGCACTGAAACAATGCAAAAACTGCACAAAAACTGGTATTGTTTGATTCCATTTCATTCATTCATTCATTCTTTCTTTCTTTCTTTTCCCTTTTTTGTTTTTGTTGTTTTGGCTTGAACCCCTGCTTTTAATCACAATAATTTAAGTAGCCTGGACTTGTTTTGGTCCTACTGCAACGCCATTACAGTCGAGAATGTACTGTAAACAACCTTGAGGAGGTGGTCGCTGAGGTGGGACTTTGCTTGGTTCTGACTCCTTCAGTGATCCACTCTGCAAAAACAAGAACGAAACGAACAAGGAGGCAAAACAGGAGAGAGGTTAAAGGGAGTGGGCTGCAAGGGGAATCACAGCAGAACCCTCTTCCCAAGCCCCAGGAGCCTCTTAGGAGGCCAAAGCCACCCCTGTGGCCAAGGCTGAAGTGACAGTAAGCGCTTCGTCAGCAGCCATGCCCAGGCATGGGGAACCCTGTTCTCACTGCAGCAGCCCGGGAGCCGAGGCTCTTCGGACATCAGCCCACCCCGCACAGCTGCTGTCCCCGGAGAGGGCGCCGACATCAGTGCACGCAAGGAAGGGTTAAATCTAACTTCCCTGCTTGTTACAGTCCCCATGAAAATCACCCAGCACTCCTGCTGTCAACTTAAGAGAAAACCCCCGGCTTGCTTCTATGTAGCACGGATTCTACTTGGGCCCTGTGCTCTGTATTATGCTTGCTTGGGGCTTCTATTCAGGGCTACACATCTTGTTATCCACGCAGATGCAGATTCAGTTTAGCAGTTAAGTCAGAAGCAAGACCAGATGCTCTATTGAGCCCTTGGAAATCCGTCATACATAGTTGGGGAAAAAACATTCAGTTTGATATCAGTTAAGGTACACAGAATCTAATGCTTTTTAGTCTGGGTGTTCATGCTGTTTGCGATGTTTATCACAAAACGCATATAGAGAAATGCTCCTCAGAAGACAGAGAAAAAATAAATGGCAAAGCAGCATTCCTCCCAAGGTATACAGAAACTGTTTTTATTTTCCAGGGAGGAGAGAGAGAGAATGAGAGAGAGAGAGCAAGAGAAAGAGAGAGAGAGCTAACTCAAGAAAGGGAAGTGGCTATATATTCCATATACTCTATTTAGAGGAGTTAGGAGGAAGTTCAGATTTAACACTTCTGAAAATACGTTATGCAAATTTGTCACAATTTGGATTTAGGAAATTGAACATATAAATTGTCACCCCTCAAAGATCTCAGAATGCTTCTTATAGAGGAGTGGAAGTCAATGTCTTTGTTTGTTTCTTATTGGCTCATGACTTCAGAACTGTGTTTAGGAGTAAAGAAATAAATATGCAGCGTTTGAAAGTTCATGGTGGGAGCAAGACACTGCAAATCTAATGAAAGCCAACCTGTCTTGCACACAAGGAGCACTTTGTTCATATGTTGTGTGACTGCCTAACTACATTTATCCAACGTGCTCATTTTCAGACAACTTAGATTCAGAATTCACAAAGAATTCAAGAGAAGGCTTCTCCCGAAATAAATCCAAGAAGTGAGGTTTTTGTAAGGGCAGGGGGTTCTCTGAAATACATCATTTCTAATGCATGGAAATAATATCCATATAGAAAAATGGACATTTACATTAAATGCCTGGAAAGCGACATGACCTTCCTATCACTAGAAGCACAAGCGATATCTAAGAAGCACCCTTCAAACCAATTAAAAATGCCCACAAGTGACCAGAGCATCTGCAAGATCTATTCCTGACTGAAACAATCAATGGCAACATGGGGCAAACCCGAGCATTTTCTTTTGCAAAGAAACCGTTGCGTGCCCTTCTGGCCCTTGGCACTATATCCCCCATTCAGCAGGCACAGAGGGAATTCTGCCTGTCCCGTCCTGTGGCTTGAGATGATCTCCTCTCCCATCTGTTTGGGTGGGCAGGGCTTCTGCACTTGAGTAGGGTTGAGGAAAACTGAAACTCAGCTCTGTTGGATACAGAGGTACTTGAATTTGCCAGAGGGGAGAACTGAATCACTCTAATCCTCAAATGTTCTTGTGTGTGATGAATATTGCCCCCCTCCCCCCCCACACACACATCCCAATGCTTTAAATCTTTACCAGATCTGCAATCTAAGCTTAATATAGTCCATCAGACAGGAAATGCCTTGGCCTTAAATTAGGCTTCCCAGTATGCTAGCTCATACTTCCTGCTCACTGCATTTCCTCAGACACATGCTTTGTTTAAGCATTCTGGAACCTTAATAGCCCCTGCCCACTTTCCTGCACTTGCGACTGGTTAATCAGGGACTTCAATTCCCTGTCTGTAGCTTTACCAAACATCCACTAGAACCTGACGATAGCTCTGGGGTGGCCAAAATGCTCCCAGGGCCCTTGTTTGGAGTTCTGGCATATCCCAGAGATAAGGAAGGCTTACTGGTTTTGATTTAGGAGTACAACCTAGATGAGCAGATGACTTCAAAGCTACAGAACTCCAAATCCACATCTTGACATGCAAAAATGGTCACAAATTGAAATGGTGACCAGGATGTCTAGCTAAGCATTAAATATAGTATCTTTAGTTTAAAAATTAAAGCACTTCCTGCTGGAAGCAGGATGGGAGTGTACCCAATAGTCTTTAGATATTTGGCGTTATGGGCCATGGAAGATCAAGCAATGGCCTCAATACTCCAAAGGGATCCAGCGTGAAAGGGACACCTGCAGATCAGGCCTTAGACAAAATACTCCCTGAGATATAGGCCTGCTCAAGGGAAGGCATCTAAATGAGGGGCCTGCAGGCTTAGACTAACTTGGGTGAGACAGCCTTCCAAAGCTGGCTCTAAGGACAGTTCACTGAATTGAGCTGAGTTCATGAAGCCTGCCAGGGGAAATTATTTTTTTTTTACATTCAGTTGCAGCCCATCTTAGGTCAATTATGTCTGTTGTATCCCCCAATCCCTGGAATACCAACAGCTGTAATCCTGCACTTGAAGCCAAGTGCAGCCAGGATAGCTAAGGCGACTGGCACTGCCCATGTTTTGTGTTGTGTCACCTCCCAGTCTGAGGTTGCGAGGTATTAATGCTCACAGGGTTCAGCCTAAGGCACCTGCCCAGCGCTGTGTCTGGCAGGGACCACTGAAGAGAATGTTGGCTCTTGCGCTTGATAGCATTTCACAGGAGCAGTGGAGGCCAGTGCCAATATCAGCTTCCCAAGCACTGCAAGGACAACTGAGAAGAAACAGAGCAGGGTTTGCTTGAATCGGCAGACAGAGCTGGTTCTTCCTGGCTGGCTCTTCTCTGGCTGTTCCATGGGATGAAAGCATCAGAAAAGGAAGGAGCGTGGAAGCTGCCATGATATAAACCTGGTTGGAGATGCACACAAGTACTTAGCAATAAAGACTATGAAGACATCCCAGGTCACCATTCTTTAGCCAGATTCCAATATTTCAGAAAGTTTAAAAAAGATTGTCACATTCCTTTTCTTCTCTTCTTAGCAGGATTTTCTAATGGTCCTTGGCATCTCTAAGTACCATGAAGGTCTTCAGATCCTCTTTTGAATGCTTCACTTCTCATCCAGATGGTGGGCTGGATCTAGGACCTGTCTTTCACAAAAGGATGGGACCTTCTGTTTGAGGAAGAGCTCCATTGTGGACACACCCTTCACATGACATTTGGGATCCACCTCTCCCCAGTCCAGAGCTCACTGCTTTCAGCAGGGGCTCCTGACTCTTTATGAAACATTTTCAGGGGGTAGGTGTAGAGGACATCTCTTGCACAATGCATGCTGCTCAGAGAGTTTCAGTTCTGAGGAGGAGGCAGAAGAACAAGGAAGAATGGAGGAACTGAAACTTTCAAGGTTATCTAATGAAGTTTCTCAGGCAGAACAAGAGATTCTGCCTGTCTAGGAAAGGCAGAAGGTTTTTAAGGGCAGGAGCGGAAGTAGATGAAAGAAGAACTCCTTGACTGGGTCAAGTGCATGGCCCAATTAGAGGGCCTCCAGTGTTTGCACTGTCTAGTCCTCAAGCACCAATGGCCACCCTGAGGGTGGAGTGAGAAACTTTACAGAATGTGAGGGAAAGAGGGGAAGTTTCAGTTCGGATTCAACTCTACATGCTTCTCTGACAACTCTGGTAGAAGACTAATTTGTTTTATACAATTCTGTAACCAGTTACAGTTCAATAAAATAACTTCACTTTGAAGGTTTCAGGTTTGACAAAGAGAGGGAAAGAAGGAAGTGACCTGTTCAGGACACGGGCAGGAGGCAAGGGAAGGCCAGCACGGTTGATCCGTCTTAAATCTGGATCCAAATCTATCTATTCCCACAGGTTGCATGGGCCTAGTGTGAGATCGATTCTATTTAACTTTGAACCTTCTATTAATTCAGTTAATTTTGTTGTTGTTGTTATGTGCTGTTAATCCTTCTTAGATTTATGGTGACCATATGAATGAATGTCATCCAAAATGCCCTGTCCTTCACAGTATTGCTTGGCTCTTGCAAATTTGAGGCTTCCGTTATGGAGTCAGTCCATCTCAGACTTGGTCTTCCTTTTCCCTTTCAGTATTTTTCCTTAGTCTTCTCCAGCAAGTTTTGCTTTCTCAAGATGTGCCCAAACTATGACAAGTATCAGCATTTCCATTTTTGCTTCCAATTTCAGTGGGTATCTCCTCTAATATTAATATTGTGGTGAAGAGAAATAATCATTATTCCAGGTTTTTATATTTCTCAGTTATATGGGAAGTCATTCTGCTGTTTCCCATGATGACCTTCTGGCCTGCTCCCTTTCAGGTACTGAGAGGTTACACCATTCCTTAAAAGGAGCTCATGACTGGTATGCGTGTTGTAGAGGATACACATGAAGAACGTTTTTCTTTATGAGACTGCTGCTTAGCATTCCATGGTCTCTTGTAAGGAGTACATAAGTGGATTAAAGACATTCACCATCTTCTAGTTCTTGGTAAGTGCTTTTTTATCATTCGTAAAGGTAAGTTGCCACAAAGGGCGAAGAAAAGAAACAGGCTATTCACCTTGCTGCCATGTAACAATACTGCCATCTGCTGGTGCATGAAGGCAGTAGACATACTTTCAGTTCCTGGTGCCCCCCCAGAACTGCTCTCCTCTTCAGCTTTGCAGCTGACTTGTTTACCTGCCAGTTGCTCTGGCCCAAATGACAAAAGCGAGGCAAAGGAAGAGCAGGAGATGCTATTGCTGACTCACTCGCACACTGTCTCTGCCAATCAAGCAAGGGCAGTGTAACAAAGCTAAGCAAGAAGATAAGCAGCATCAGTCGTG